TTGCAAATGTTGTCTCTCAATAAACGCATCCTCGGATACATTACCGTCGCCACATGACCGGCCACAAATGCATAAACTTGTTAAGGCCTCGCAACCGGGCCCGCTTGATTACAATTTGATACAGCCAATTGATGCAATCTGCAGTCTAGATTCTGAGCAGTTAGCTCAATTGTTATAAATCTGTCTGGTGCAACGGGCACAATCGTGAACGCCCGACCAACTGCACAAAGGAGGGCGCTGCTCACGCAAAACTATTAGTGTCATTAATAAGCGGTCGGTCGACTTTGAGATTAGTTAGAGGTTACTTGTTAGGACTCTGTGTATCATACCCATATATCGCATTTCTACATATTTATTTATAGCTTTGCTTACAATTAAGATTACCCTTATTTAATAAGGGATAACAGTCTGCTTACTAATCCCTCTGATGGTAAACAAGAAGCTGAGCTCCCATTATTTAAAATTGATTTTGAAGTAAGTTTCCAAACCTTTTGATTAAATTTAACGCACTACATTTGAGTACTGTTTGCAAATTTAGTCCAATCCACTGTTACCGGGCGCTGATAATGACTTTTTGCTTATATTATATCGTAGGTACGGACAATTTAGAAAAACATTTAAATTGATGTAACAATTAGGCGACAAATAGAACAGACGTAATCGGGCGGTGCGCCCGTTTAGTGGCGGCAGAATCCTTGACGAATGATCTAGGACAACACGTTCTATATTTATAATCCGGAAAACGACATCGATAGCGTATCACACGAAGCGCGACAAACATCCGCGCCTACTCCGTAGGTACGTGGTCACGTGCGCCGATCATTAATGAAGCCCCAGTGCGTACTTGCTTAGTGGGCACCCTGCTCTGGACCCTCCGACGCCGCCTACACTAATTACGAGCCACGATGCAAAATGAACTCTTTGTGCCTCCATAGAAGCTGATTTTTATATGGTCTTGGTCATTAGACATCATTTTCATGATCTCTAGCCAATAACAATTGCATAAATATAAAAATTAACATTATATGACCATACCATCATAATGGTATTTATTTCTTCTATTTACGAGGGAGGATACTAAACATAGTTAAATGAATCTGTTTATACATCCACCCATGGGCATTGCAACGTATTTGAAATGTTGGCAAGATTAATGTAAATAAAGGCGAGAAACCGTGCAAACGTAGTCTCATTTAACAAGTTACAATTATTTGATTGTTAAGATAGCCGTGGACCTTGCCTAGAGGAGTCAGTCTATAACTCTGGCCTCGTTCCTTTCGACACGTGCAACCACTTGGTCTGCCACAGTACATACCACCGTTAACTGCCGCCTCCGGCGTAGCGGTACCCTACTTGGGATAACCGGTAACGTATGTACCTTTCATACGGTCTTTTTCAACTTCAAAGTAAACCTTTTTAGGTCGCTTGTTAGCTCTAAGTTAACTACTGATTTACAGCTACCAAACATAATTATACGTCTCTTCTTTATCTATAACTGACGGTCACTTGCAACGTCTTCTAAAAAATTCTGTAAAAAAAGTAGTGGACAAGGCTGAAATTAGCTCTAAGAAAACTCTTAAGACAAGTTATGAGTCAATTATCCAAGAGACGAGAAATAAGAGATTTCCTTGAGCCAGTACGTTATTATTATAAGAAAAATCTCTTACTTGAATGTACGTATATAGATAGAATTCCTACAGCGTACTTATAGGAGCTGGTTAAAGTTCTTTAATAAACACGAAGATCGAGTAGAGATTTGTAGTCATGCCAATGACTTGAGATAGGCAAAAGTCCTAAAATCGACTAGTACGGCGCATTGTTTATTTTCGAATTTAATTCACTGGAGTTTCAGTCGTAGCAGATTGCCATTTATCATTTTTATATATTCTATTTTGCATAGTTGCTGCGTTCGCCCCGATAAGGAAATGGACACGAATGTACACCGCGCGGCTGGCTAACCTAATTGACGTCGCACAATAACGTCTCAATAATCACTTACCTCAAACTGACAGTGTGCAAGTGGCTTTTCGACTAATATTGTTTGTTTGTCACAATTTAAGGCAACTATTTCCTTATTGCGATCGCAGTCGTTTTAACATCTCGCAAAACCTAATAGAAATCCTTATTTATATACATAGTTAAACAAATCTTGTATCATCTTCCTGTTTTCTTTTTCGCCGTTGTTAATTAAAGTCGCCTTAAGCGCGAACCCTTTATCAGATGTATAAATCCGACTCCATTAAGAACAACATTTGGATAAGGCGATGGCTGCCATAAAAGCGAAGCGGGCACGCATCAATGGCGATTACTGTTAAGGAATTACGTCAACAATGGGCCCTTGCAATGAAGGTTGTTTATTTTCAGACGATGCGGACATATTGCGAAGTTTTTATAAGACAATCGAATGCGCAATAAATGTCAATGCCAAAAGAAGAATACCAGCGTGATCCCAGCTAATTCTCTTGTAACTCAACATTTTGTTATGAAAATATGTGTGAAATATGAATAATAAATACTTGATATTACATATCAATACTACAAAGGGAAAGAATGTTTAAGCTCGCACGCTCTAATTCCAAGAAGTACTCGAAAACAAAATACTATTTTTGCATCAGATAGCTTCATCATTAGTCACAAAATTCTATGACAGGAACAATAAACATGTAAAAATGTGCGCCAGACTTGACATGGTGCAAAATGTGAGATGAAACTGGATCACGGATACTTAATAAGAATGTGAGCCTTGTGTCGTTTCGAGTTACGCGTTACACTGAAAACACAGTGGTCGGTGCGGTGGCGTTGAGCGCGACGCTCCGCTGCATAAAGAGAGATGCAAACAGACCAATTAGTTTATAAAGGCGACCGCAAACACTGGCTAACGCACTCCGTCAAATATTGACTCGTGCCGCGCCCCTATTTGCCCCATAAACGGTTTCTTAATGAAAGGGATAAATAACCTCTCGCGATCGTAACTCATTTTCACCAACTTAAGATGACATGGTTGCCTACTTATCATGTAGTTATAAATATTTAAACAATCTGTTTATTTTTATGTTTTATGATCTTAGAACCTTAAGTAGGTTTTTTTGTAAAAGAGCGCATATTTTGTAGGACAGCTACAAAATATGTGCCCTTTTACAAAAAAAACATTTATCTTCAGAAGTTCCAATAAATTAATAAAGATAATTAACTGAAACAATTGTTTTAAGATATTACAATTACCTACTTCAAAATCAAAATGCTTAAAATTTGTATAAATGACAACCCACTCATTCATTATGTATTAACATTGTCCCGCCACAAAGAAGTATGAAGTTGATTGATGCTAAGTTATACTTGACTTACTCAGAGTACATAGCACATATGGAGTACTGAGTCGTTCATGCCACAATAGACATGCATTTTAATATAAAAGGATTTTTAAAATTCAACTCAACACTCAACACATAACAGACAAGCGACTCCGCACGTTTTGCGAAACTATGTAATTGTTAAGGCCAAAATCAGGACTAGTCGAACCAGGGTCGCTAATTAGACTATACAGATCCATTAATTTACCTGAGCATAAAAATGTTTTCGTATGGGTGCAGTAACTTAATTATAGTTATTTCGACTCAAAGCTCGTGCGCCCTGACCCAAAAAGCATTCCAACAGACTGCCGAGAGGATCACGAGGCGTCTGGCAACAGTGCTAGGCCTGCTCCGACCGGCTCGGCGCGGACCACCCGCCACATCGCTAAGCTAACCATTGGTCACCATTCCTACGGGTATCATAAATTCTTTGGATAAACAAGGACGATGAATATGTACATTGGACATACGCTCTAAGCTTTTAGTGATTTTTATTATTATCAATTGGTGGTCAACCAGGCTTCGCCCAAATGTAATTCAGTTTTTACCGTCAATTTAGTAGTCTAGTGGGCAAAGTGATTATCAACGTAATATGTAGCCCATGATTATCTGAAAAAACATATATTTGAAGGATTTTAAAACGTTTCTATAACGGTTCCTAAAAGTTAGTTCGATAAACATTATCACAAAGTTTATTATCTCTTTCGTTACTATATTAGTATAAATGACTTTTTATCGTCCATGACTAATTACATCTAGTAAGTCGTACTTAAATGTTGATAAATATTTTTTTAAATGTCCCGATTATTTCAAATGAATCCTGGACCCAATATTCGCTATAGACGCGATTAACGCTTCACTACGCGAGCCGACAGGATGAAATACAAAACCATCCGCATCTCGGCAAGCAATGAGAGCTCACATACGTTTTTCAATTGTTTTGCATGTGCACATCGCAACGCGAATGCTCTAGACTCTAGGCTAATATGTGTACGTAACACATACACATAACACTTTAGGGTTTAGGTGATTACTTACAAGCGACACTGAAACCTGTTTTTGACGAAGCCTCGTTTTGACGAGGCCACATAAAAGGTAACTATAGTTGCTAAGGCAACAAATAGACTTAGATTAGACATTATGTCTTAAACTGAAATAACGTTATTTTAAAGTATGTTCAACTATTTTATGGGGTACCTTCTGAGCTAAATTGCAACTTATACAATCATATATTTTAAATGAAAACAAGCTATGAATATATTAATGAGTCAATAAAAATAATTACTTTCCCTCTTTTTAGCACATCAGGAGCAACCAGCGCTGCTTGGAACTACTATCCCGATCAGCACAAGCTGAGCCGCCCCAAATGTACATTATATGTACTTTAAGATTAAGAATGCATGATTAGTTATAAGTACATAAGGCAATAAAGTGATTTCTATTTATTTATTCCTTAAAACAGTTTTGCGTACTCCTCGTTTTCCGTAGACTCTACCTGATCTTTGTAATTTGAATAAAATGTACTTAACACGTTTGCACAATATAAGATTCAAAAGAAACCTAAATACACTCCTGTACCAAGCAGAATTTGGCCAGTTGATGTTACGCCAGCACCAGACCGCGAAATTAGCCTGTTCAGACGCCTAATTAATGAAAACACGATTTGTTGAGGAGCACGGCTACTCGAACGAAACAAACAAAGCACGCGTGAAAATAACGAGTGAACCGCGAAAGTTCCAGGAACAAGGTGCGCCGCAGCGTGAGGCGGAGTTATTCATAAATCCGTTGGCGGCCGGGGCGAGCGGTAACGCTGCCCAACGGGTATTTATGGAGTAATGACGCTCTGCTTTCAGGTCAGGTGTTATGGGGATCGCTCACCCAACTTTTTGCATATGCAACGGGCCGGTGACCGGAGAAGCCCTCCCGCGGCACGCCAAACGCTACTTCGGCCTACAACGTGTGAAAGTGTTAACGGAGACCCTTTGCGATTAGGGGGACTTCCCATGCCCTCGAAACGTGTTCATGTAGTATTTGATAGCTTTATTATATCGTTTCATAGTAAAATAGCCAGTACTTATGCATTGAATAATTACCGGTTGGTGCAGTCGCTTAGATTTCGGCATCACGGGTCGTGAATTAGATCATTCAGATACTATTCCCACCCGGGAAGTGTTTGAATGACCTGAGGCTCACCACCTTTATCAATTATTACTGGGAAACCGCATATAGTTCGAGGTGAAATTTAGGCCGAATGCGAAATTACAAACGAATATTTCTGAAGCAAAGGTATTTTCAACTGCCGTAGTTTTGCCCCAAAAATATTTATGCAGAGTTAGTTTGGTATTAATTAAAGACCTAAATACCACCAGTTACTTTAGAATTGCGCGTCATAAACTTCCTCAATAGAATTTAAAAGCGAGTTTCATTAGATTTTTTCTTCGATTTAATTAGTACGAGTGTTGAGTGCTTCTTAATTCGTGGCTATAAAAAAGTAGTATCGAGTCCATTAGACACGTCCGCTGAGACGTTGTAATCTCGGCCATAAGATTGATCGCGTTTGCCCCGTGAGCGAGCGGCCGCGGCATCCGGCGCTCGTAAACCTGCACCGCCTCTAACCTCCTCCATCCTCATAAAAATCAGATTGTTTGGACAACATGACCAATGTATCTCCAGCGAACAAAGAGGATTGAGTCAATCACGTGAACCCCAACTTTCTATGATCTATCTCGTCTACAGTCTGGCATTGCATATGTATTCGGCAACTTGAAGAACTTGAAGCAAAAACCGCTAAACATAAAATACGTTATGTAATATGAATTGATGTTTAGGTATACAATTGATGAAAATAACTTATTTCCCTGTCAAAACACCCTGCTAATGTATATTGTGTTAATATTTTTTATATATTTAATGTGAAAAGATGTCAAGAGAGCTGTTAATCGATTACTGCCTCTCATGAACATCTGCAACTGAGGAACAATGAAAATTACGAGTCGAATTTCAACCACTGCCTGGTCGAACATTAGTGAATATAAAAAAATTAATAAGAAGTTTCAAAAATGGTAAGTAAATAAAAAGGAGATGAGGCGAGGCTACAGGAGGTTTATTCATATTCGTGCAATACTTAAATTTCGACGTCCTACTTACGTTAACCTTCTCTTCTCTGATATTTTTGCAAACACACGGACAATCACATGCACGCATTATTAAAATGTAAATTTTTCTTTTCCATAATGAGCTACTTTCTTAAAATGTTAATTAGCCATTCACAAGAAATGACGAATGAACCATGATAGCTCAGTGTCCGGGAGCTCGCTTTTAATATAATATACTCGAGCTAACTGAGTTTAAATCCCGGTACTGGCAACAATGAAATTGTTCATTTTAAGTGCATGTGTTCAGCAGTGAAAGAAAATGTCATGAGAAAACGTTTTCTCATAACATTGATATATTATGTTGAAGACATGTTAAGTCCATCAACCGGCAGTGGGATTGCGTGGTGGACTATGAACTCATACCCTCTGTACAGAGGAAGCCTTTGCCCAGCAGTGGGACATATATAAGATGTTTATTTACTTTTTCTTTTTTAATAAATGACAAGTTATTTGACATTTAATAAATTTTTAAATAAAATGGGGAAATCGTTACTGGGTAAAAGATGCGTTAAAAACTTTATTATATTTTATTATAGTTACAACACATAACAGCAGTTCACTCCATAGTGAATAACTGACAAATTGCAAGCCTATGGAGTCATTTCGCTTTTTAATCACTTGATAATAGAAAAAAAATGGATTCAGACAATATGGAAGGATAATATGGAAGGATAAGGATAATATGGATATTTTGTATGTAGGTTTTCTACCAAAGTAAAACTATCTGCGTACGCGATCTAAATCTGGAATCAATAGAGCGGCCCCTAATTCTATACAGCAAATCGATAATGAGTGAGCAGATTCAAAGCTGGCATCAATCACAATCTAATTCCGGCGAACCTACACTTACCGCTCTCCCGAATGGGTGGGATTTTCCACAAATCCAATGCAACAGCATCAAAGTTGCAGCGGCGGATGCAGTTCCGACACGATGCGAATCGCAGCCGATTTTGACAGTGGAAGCGAAATATCCAGCGCTCTATTTAATGCCCTTCATAGATCACCGTAATAAAAAGAACGAAATGAGGATGATAAATTTTAAGATAATGTTTTCTGGACAATCTTCTTTCTAAGTTAGATATTATTAAATATTTATTTATTTAGAACAACGCAAGCAACATTATATAAATTTTACATAAAGGCCAGTAAACAAAAACAGACTGAAGCCAGTCATCGTAATAGTCCAAGAGAAAAGTAAAGAAAGCGAGTCACCCGCTAGAGCACATAAATGCCTATATTTTTATACGACTGGCAGTCTTTCTTTATCCTAAAGTAGAAGTAAGTTTCATTGGATCACAGGTCGTGTTCCATTCCTGAAGAAATAAATTGCAGATTATTGAACAATACGCATAACCGCGGTGGCTTGCTAGCCAAAGGTGGACTAAACTGACGGTGTCAAAAGGGATCTGTGGCGACATGCCAAGTATCGAAATGGATTTAATTAACACTTGAAGCGTTCAGGATTAATTAACTCGTTGCAATTCAGCGCGCGCCGCCAATAGCCCGAAGCATTATGTTTTTGTTTGATTTAATTACCAACTATTTGAGTCGGGGACCCAAATTAAATTAATATTCTCACAGATGCGTTTCACTTTATTTTATATTCCTTTTATAACACGAACGCGAAATTCTACGTTATTCTCTGCTTCTACGATTCTTAAGTTGAGTTGTTCTTAAGTCTTCAAAACGTTAGCTACCATGCCATCGATCACGACCCTAGCCTTCAGCTGTGCTTCGTAAACGTTCTCTTGCTCGTGGTGGGTACACCGCAGGTGAAGGCATTACTCCGAGTTGTCTGACATTGCTAGGGAAGCCTCAACACCAAAATCTCGTAACCAAAATCACTTTCATCTGCCACCGAGTCAGCGAATTCGCTTTTACGTGGACTGCAGTCTATTTAATATATTTTCCGTTGCATTCATAAGAATCATCTCCAGAATGATCAATCTGCGAGTAAAACGACAACGTTCTTTATATAGTACTCGGGAAGACGGTCTCGAAACATGTTAATCACTTACTTTTGTCCTTTGCATATAACGTAGAAAACATTATATGCAAGTTGACGGATGATAATTTGCCGTTTTAATTTTTTCATAATCCATGAGGCCGCTATGGCTAATAAGAATATTTTGGTTCGGGCATTGAAAACAAAGACCACTTTTTTTATCCCTTAATGTCCAGTACAAGTATTAAAATATCATTTTAAATTGGGTTCATGTTACTGATAAACCTATGAAATATAAATTTAACGCTAAAGAACATGAACAAAAAGTTTGCCCCGGGTGAGGATCGAACTCACGACCTTAAGATTATGAGACTTACGCGCTGCCTACTGCGCCACCGAGGCTCGAGGGATAAATTCGAAATAAGGAATCCTTACATGTGATAATCATTTTACACGGCTTTCATAACCCAGCTCAAAGTTGTTATGTTGTTATGTTATTCATTTAGGTAGAATTACCCAGAAAAAATAATAAAAAAATTCGGTCACGTCTCGTTTAAGAAATATTTACACCCACAATAAATGTATATAAATATGTTAATCTACCTTCCTTAAACCAAAAAGTGTTAGTAAATTATTTTATCACGTCACAAATTCTTCCTGCAGTCAAATGTTTTTTTTTAACTACCTAACGTGGTGACGACAGTTTATTATTTATTGGTTCGCTTCAAACCACAATTTTCTTGTTTCGGATTGATTTAAAATGTCGAGTACAAAGTGTAAAAAAAATTCTGATCGTTTTTGTTATGTTTGTGGACAGTCTATATTTAAAAAAAAAAAGAAAAATGCATCGTTAAAAAGGGCATATCTCCATTATTTTGGATTTCCTGTTGCAATTACAAAGAAATTGTTACCAGGATTTTTTGTTAACAATAAATACATATTTGAAGTAGCACACTTTTCCAAATGGTAATCTCCCATTATAAAAAACGAACGATTTAAACGAACAAAACTTTTTACAAGAACACCATGACGACACAAAAAAATTGAAAAATTCTGAACGATCTGATTGAGATTCTAATAAAATTTTATAAAAAGGAATAAAATATAAATTACAATATGTACACAGATATTATCCACCATTACAAATACGAATATTAAATAGGAAATTGAAATGAGCGGGAAATACTTATCTTTTTAAATTTAATGTTAGGTTAATTTAATGATTAGGTACTCAATTTCATATTTTTAATAAATTTTAACTTTATTATTATAAATACGTATTTAGGAATCTTGCAGTCTATGTGAATCTAATTTAATGCGACCTCAACCTTAACGCAACTCGCATATTGAAGTTTTATACTTTCATCTACCCCCAAAGTAATATTACTGCTTATGTCTTCCACAATGCTCCAAAGGTTAAAATGAGTTATATATCGTATGTTATAACTTGTATCTCATTTTAAAACTTTGTGTTTTTATGAGAATAAATTCTTTAAACCTATCTACTTATGTAATACACGTATAAGTAGTTCCACACACGCATGGTATAAGGCATATTGCAAGTTCCTACAAGACAAAAAAATAAAATATATATTGCAAAATTTAAATATTAGCAACATCCTAAAATCTTATTTATACTTAAATCATGAGCTCTCGGTGAAATTAACAGACATACCACTTCACCTTCAGTGTTTTGTAAAGCAACTAGCATTTGAACAGACAATGCCGTATATGCAATGATAAATTATACAATCTGCAGAATTTACTTGCACTACGATGCAATGCTGGCAAATTAATAAAGGACGGTCAGCAAGAAAGACAAAAATCTGCCTGGACGTTAACTTTTCGACGAGTTCAATTTTGACACATCGAGGCCAAAAAGAGACATTTTGAACAAAGCGAAAACTAGCAAACTAAGGAGAATGTATAAAGCATTCTCGAATTGTTTTCCCCTTAATATAGTTTTCGTACGATTCATTCAACAGCAAATGAATCGCAAGTTAACGAGATACTTTTATGAAAACTGGATAAATGTAGCCCTATGTTCTCCGCAAAAAAATAGGTCCAAATAAATGGGTTCAATTTCACCTAGGGGTTTATTTATATTTAAATTTACATTAGTTTGGTTTTACCTATGAGATAAGAAATCTAAACAAGGAAACAAACTTTAAAACTTAAACCAATTAAATATGTACCTAATTCATGATACGATGAGTAACGGTTTCATATTTAAACGTGCCCCTAACAATAAACAGCTCCCTTATTTCATTAATAATAATTCAAACGGAGGGTGATCTCAGGGCGCAAAACTTTAATAACGCCATTGTTGTTTCCTTGACACAATTTATTTTATTTCTCTAGTATCTTTAAGGGTGTCTTTTGCAAAGGAAATGTAAACCGGTCACGGAGTTAATGTAAATGGAGACGAATAAACGACAAAGTGAATTAACTAAGAAAAAATGAGCGCTCTTCTCGTCGAGATGAAAATAATGCCGCTAAACAAACTGCCCTCGTAAATTCGTCTCAGTGGAGTTTGCGACGCGGGCGAGATCGTTGACCCCGACGAATAAATCGCGAGAGGCGCCGAGGAAAATACTGCGCCACTATTTGTTATCAATGGCAATGGCCAGGTGGCGCACGCCCCGCTGCGGACGGCACGAGCGGCACAATCGAGTGCCAGCGCAGCCCACCTCCCTCCGAGACATCAATGCTTCAAAGCAGATATAAAAACAGCGCCTATACCTTTTTTTTAGAACAGCGGATTGTTGGATAAACCGAGGTCAATAGCAACGTGAAAAAACTGGCCACACTTCGTGTTCCTGATATTTTTTGCGTAACATGTTGTGAAAAACAAATAACAAAGCTATTGTATAACGAGTTTCGACTGCAATAAAGAGTATGCGTGCTCGCATTCGTTATCAAACAGTCCGTCCATTTGATGAGAGCGAACAAAGACGACATAAAAAGCGCTCTTAAAGGCTGCTCTCACACGCTCCGCCAATGCCGACGCGTTGACGTCTGACAACTCTGTCGGAGTGCCGGAAATGATCGCTGCGACGCTGGAGCGGCCATCCGTCAATCTGTCGACAAGTCGTCGCTGACGAGTAAATTAAAAAAGAAATACCAGAACCGACTAGCGTCCTTCATTTCTCACTATAAACGAGCATGTTCACTTATTTTTGGTCACAGTGACTTCGACCGTTTGGGGCACATCGGTGGTAATTGATTTTACGCACCAAAAGCGAGAACTGCCGCCGGCTGGGAGGCCAAGGCCGCCCATTCCACGATTGGGGCCGCGCCGCCGCCGCAGAGGCCGACGCCATTGGAATGTCCCACGGTTTTACGGTCGCGCGCCAAACGCAAAACGTTGCCGGGTGAAAGCAGCGCCGTCGACTGTTGCAATTCATTTTCGCAGAGAGATACGAACAAATTGAACAAATAACTACCATGTGTGATAAATATCTTTATATCAAACAATATTGCTAATTTCTAATTTCGAAATAGTCGAATATGTTGAGTGTGCGTCGTCGGTTTTGTTTCCAACCTGTCACGACATCCTCGCCGTAACAATGGAACGTAACGTCTTGGCGTTTCAAGTTCTAACATATCAGATATCGAAGCGTATCAACATTTTTTTAATATTTTTCAATAATCCTGAAACATAAAGGAAAATGTATCACGTTAAAATAAGTTATGCGATGTAGTTTAATGACTGTTGAATTAAAACAAGGCAACAAACTTTCAACGCTATATCTAAACTCTGTTTCGCTCTAAATACAAGGAAAATGTAAACGTCGACGGAGTCGCATGGTTCAGGCAGTGGACGAGACACCGCCGAAACGCGGCGTGCGCCACGCACCTTCGTGAGGCACTACAGCTCATTACCGACGCTTGGCACTCCTGACATCATCAACTGTCTTCAAGAACTTTAATAGCCACATAAAGGCATATATTTCGCTTAAAATGCCTTGAAACTGTCGCAAAGACTAGAAGTAGAATTAAATTTAAGCGTTGGTACCTACCAACCTTTGAACCTTCAAAGAAGAGGAACAGTGAAATACCGCTCATGTCACTGCGACATTGTCCAGAACGGAAGCTCTACTTTTTACTTTTTTTTATTCAGAGAATATGCAGGTTTCCTCGATCAGGTTGCTCGAGTATATTGAAATAAAGGCGAGCGCCCTGACACTGAGCTATCACGGCTATCCTTAATTATAAGTTAATTAAGCATTACCGACACCGGACGAGGAAACTCCGAGGCAACGGCAGGGGAGTAACTGTGCAGGGACCAAGAGCCGGTTACCCGCTGCACAATAAAACAAGCAAAGGCAGGAACTAGTTACATCCATTAGAATACCGTTGAATTTGCCGTTTGCTTTAGCGGTTATATAATTGAACTAGCGGCCCGCCCCTGCTTCGCACGGGTATAAAATTTTAAAATTAAAAATTGTCGTACACACACATAAAACCTTCCGAATATTTCGTCTTTGGTGAATAATTTTATGAATTTCTTCATCTTTTAATGAAATATCCATTAAATTACGTCATGAAGATCGAAAGACCGCTGACCAGATAATGGTTCCGCTTGTAATGTTCCGTAAAAGTGACAAATAAGTCTGGTCTCCCATAGCTTCGGACATAAATCATCGCATCTTTGGTTTTTTAATGCAGATAACTCGGAGAACCTGTAAATTAATATGACGTTGCAGATTACGCGTTGACCGATGTTTGATGGGCCAGTGTCTTGATTTAAAGCGTCTCTAAGATGAATGTTTCACCAGCCACCAGTCTCTGGTGATCACGACATCATATGTAATTCAATCTTTCTGATATCTTTTTGCCATCATATCGACAATGTATTGAATAAAAACCGGCCAATTGTGAGTCACTCGCACACGAAGGGTTTTACTTTTCCCTAGCCTGGGAACTATTTCTAGAAAGATGAGATTTTGATCTTTTGGGCATTGAACTGCCTTTTTACTTAATTATTTCCTAACCAGTATAAATGTGATTGAATAATTATAAGAACTACTACAAGACACTAAGCTGTTTGGATAGTTAAATTACAATATATTAACATTTTTAAACTTGTGATATCTTTCGAATGGAATGTCCAAATTTAATAATTCAAAAAGTTATATAACGATATTGAAACAGTCTTAAATATGAAGTAATTTATTATTATACGGATTCATACCAAGACACAAATAAAGAGCCTTTTTTAGCGGCGGCATTTCAATCATAATTTTAAAATAAAAGAACACTTATTGTGGCATAACTATAATAGTCAGACATGCTCTCGCGACACTTTTTGTAAATAATGATGTGTTCTGCAAATTTTTAGTACATTATTTTATTCAATCATCAATAGTTTTCCAGCGCACGCGATGTAAAGAATATTTTAGGTAATTTTTGTACACTTTGGATTACATTATTGAAGTTTTAGTAAGGATCCCTATTTTTTTTTAAATATAATATATATGTCAACCGGGGATAATGTAGCTTCCCAACAGTGAAAGAATTTTTCAAATCGGTTCAGTATTTTCGAAGCCTATTCATTACATACAAACAATCAAATCTTTCCTCTTTATAATATAGTATAGATATAGTATAGATATAGTATAGATAAGTGCAGTCCAATACATCCCTAAGTTAAATACGATAAGTATATTGTGTTTTATAATGGATACTCCGTTAATATTTGGTTTATCGATATTTATCAATGACTCGACATGGGTGCCATGATTTAGGTCTTATTAAATAGCTGTATTCTGTGCATTGCTAGTACACACAATTGAGTGTGTGATCCGCTAAATGCGCTAATGATTTTAATAGATGCGGTTTTTCTCCCACCTTTGATCTTCGAACATGACGTCCCTATCATCGTGTACATTCGCCAATCAGCTTCTCACCAAACGTAACTGTTGTTTATATAATCGTGGATATACCGAGATTAATCTCGGTGGATATTACATGAACGTATTTTAGAATGTGAATCGCAACAACGGCCTTCGGGAGGCGAGATAGAAAGGAAAATAGGTTCTTTTTTGTGAAAAAGAGCGAAATGTGGGTTGTTATAAAAATCATGTATGCTTTTTCTTAAATTTAAATATTGCTAACAACAAATCTATTGGTTTGGTCATCACGTATAAGATACACATTCTCATTTCAGTAATTTATTGGGTGCTCCAGTACATTTTTTCAGTATCATTATTTTTATAAATAAATAAACGACCAGCAAGGATGTTTCAAAACAAAGCCAAGTTCCGTCCCGACTTAAATATGGTTTCAAACGGGATCTCCATTTATTTATTTTGAAACTGTCCGAATTTGAAACCGTTTGTTAGTAGAATGTGTAACGCGAAAGTTCCGTGAGCGGTGACAGTGGAGGCGCAACTCGGGCATGCAAAAGTAACGGCACCGACGGAACAACAATTTTTCGCGTTCCAAGGTACGCGTCGGGAAGTGGAGCGGATGAGACACTAAGCGACAAACTCTGCAGTATAACTAGTGGTCTTAGAGAGAGGACCGTCGAGAGCTCGGGTCATAGTAACTGCTGTTTCCAGTGAACGAACACTGGCCTTATGAAATTGTTGTTGGGCTTATCACCGCCACCCCACGAGTTGAAAATTATAATATATTAAAGTACTGATGCGGTATACAAAAAGTAGAATTATTTTTTTTCGCGCATTCTCGATGTGCCATGTATTTCGTCGCAAATAATTGACGTTTCCTGATCTTGTATCAAAGTTGTTTATACTATATTTGACCATCATACCAAATAAACGGGAGAAGAGATTGCACTAATCACGCATCAGCTGAAAACAACCAATAAAACCGTCCCATCGCAAAACGATCTGTTGGACAATTAACAGCTAAGAAAAACCAATGGAATGTAATAAATATATTTTTGCATCGGAAACACTAATCCGAACATTTGATAGAGTCGGTTCTGCAAAGTCCTTAACCTTGGCAATTGTTCAAGGCAACAATATCACTGTATTAACGTGAACCGGTTGCTTTTCAATACCGTGCACCATTTACTCGAGCGAATGTTGAGTCGTTACGAAGCACGTTACAGTAAAACTCGCGCTGTGAATTTAATCCCAGGCTCTAGAAGTAATATTGATGGTGTAATTTTAAAACATTTAGGATGCTAGTCAAACAAGGGATACATGTAAAATACTATGAATTAAGTAAGCGCATTTATAACGTGCTGCATTTACGAAATATTATCAAGAAACAATGTTTCGCAGTGCAGCCGCGTGGTGACTATGCCCTAATACCTTCAGTACCGAGGCCATTGCCTTTGAACAGCACTGGGGCACATAGGCTATTACTTTACTTTATTTACCGTATCCGCGATTAATTTCCATCACTGTATTTACTCAGAACTTTTTTTTTATGTATGCACTTTTGTTGTAGTTCTGCGTTCTATGACGCTTTAAAAGGACTAGGGAATGAAAGAAAAAATATCAGTCAAATTGAAGTATAAAAAAGGTTTAAGGTAAAGACATTTAAGCGTCGATTGTAAAGTTTCCGTTAAAGCGTCGACGATTCTTGTCCCACTCATTTAACTTTCCCTAAGGGTTGGTCGGCTGATCGAGGGCGCTAGGCGGCATCAGCTGCGCTTGCGCTGCCCCATCGATGCGTTCCCTGCCGCTAGCGCCGCTATCAATAGGCGCCGGATGCCGCGCTGATATCTAGCGGTAAGCGGCCTCCCCGTGCCGATTCTAATTATCAACTCCTCCCCTCATGTGTTCCATTAAATTTCGACAACGAGATTCGAGATTCACCGGAGACGACTCTCGTCTCGGCGCGTTCCCACCAACCAACGTCACATAGTCGATACATCTTTGTCACGGAGGCTAATTTTAAAATATCACAAAGGTCGAATACCATACGACTGCGATGAGCAAAATAACATACATTCTGAGCCAGAAATAAACAAACAGCGTAAGAATTTTAATAAGAATCAGGGATTTTTACGTTTTACTAAATTTGTAACGTAACATATCAGATAATGCAAAACGTTACATTGGTAGTGATAGACCATAATCTTTCTGATTTACGCAATTTTAAATTTATTTCACTTTGTATTGTATAATATATTCGTAGGTACTTCGTATGATAGGGCTATTGTTTCATGGCTCTTCATTGTTATTAAAATTAATCCGACTGTTGATTATACTTATGTCAGTGGTGTTATATATTTAATATAAGGCGAATATGATAATTGTATAGGCAGGCGACATATTTGAATGTCACGCCGCTGTAAGTATTTACAGTGTAAACAGCTCGCGCAAACAACGTCGGGTTAAACTTAGATAAATGTTGTTTTAAAATTAATCATTACAAGAAGCTTTCATGAAATTGTAATGACTTACTACATCTGTAGAAGTTCTACGCGTGTATGATCAGGTTACAATCATCAAAATCACACAAGCGATTAACTTACAGTGGAAAGCACATTGCAATTATGCTCATGACGTATGCACACATAAAAAGCTTAATCATGCAATAGGGCGAAATGCGGAACGCAATTCCATTTATGAAAGTATGATAATGAATGCGGAATCACAGCGAGGGGAACTTGGTAGCAGTGGGAAGCTGAGTCTTAATGGTTCTCATATTAATATCTGAATCAAGGAGGGCGGCCAGTCTTGATAATGCATTCTAATATCTGCCTTAGTCATTATTCTTTGGTCTTAGATATTTCATTTTAGTCCTGCTTTCAAATCACCTCTGGAAATAATTATGTGGCCGGCAAAATAAAATTTTATTTCGAACAACGTTTCTTCCATACAGGCTTGCCTAGTGAGGGAACCGAAAGATACGCTTGTTTAAGTATTTAAGTCTTGTCTGCAAACAAATGATGAACAAGTAGGATCTCTACTTGTTCATCATTTGTTTGTATGTAAATAGTTTATAAGTCTATAACAATGTTCTGCTTTCTTTCCTTTCTTAAACCTATATGAAGGCCAAATATAATGGTCCAACCAAAACTTAAAATTAATAACGATGTTAATAAGATGTTAAGAACGTGTGAAGACTTCTTCTAACTAGAT